ATCCGGCCCCGCGTACAAGCCATGGACGCAACCTAGGCGGCTGCGGACTACGGGTAACCGACGATGAATATATATATTGAGTTTGAAGGGAGACAAGGATAAAGGGAATAACGTGGAATAATGTTGAATTATTTTCAAAAGATAATGAAGAGTTTGTTACCAATATAATTATATATAAGTTAAGATAAAATGTAATGCATCCAAAAAAATCTGCATGTGATTGCTTTCTTTGAATGTTTATTTAATATTTTTCAAAATCTTTAGTCTGCTATTAAATTATAGTAGATTTATAAAAATAAATAGGAATAAGAAATTGTTTGAAACGATAATTACGGATCAATTTATGGAATTGGGTTATGTGATAGTTTTGCAGTTATCTTGCTAAAGAATGGAATGTGTAGAGATTTAAATAACGTGTCATTAAATCATTTTTATTAACTTGTCTCAAACATAAAAATTATGAAAATATACAAACGCATATGTGATTTTGTAAGGAAAGATCTATTTTTTAATTTAATGACTACATTAAAAATAAATTTAAAGGATCAGAATAATATATTATAATATATATATATATATGTGAATAAAAATCAATTATCTCGAACTCTCTATATATACAAATATATGTAAAAAACATTAATTATCTCAAATGTAACCACTGAACGATTTTTTAGGTATTTATAATGTTATGATTATTGTCTAATAACTAATAATATTTGAAAATATATAATAATATGCTAACTACTTTTAATTTTCACGAATTTAGTGGGTAATAAATTCTTAAATATAGCTAGAATCTAATGTAATTTTTATCTATACAAAATATTAATGGCCCCAAATCAAATAGATTTGCTTGCACTTATTGATACTCAATTGATGTATATTATTATTATAAATTAATAAATATTGTCAATTTTGTCACATATCATCTTTTTCGTTTCAAAAGAAAATTATTCTTCCAAAAATGGTCTTAGGAATATCTGCTGTCAAACTCAAAAGATTATTAGATACTCATACAGAAATATAGAAAAAAAATATTTTGAAAGGATACCAATTAAACTAACGGACTTGTAGGGATTTAAATCAATAGGATAAAGGAAAACATGTGTTAAAAAGAGTAAAAATTGGTTAGATAAATTGACTCATTCAATTTTTTTAAAATTCGAAAAAAAAGTGTTTAAGTGGGAAAAACATGATTTTTA